GGCAACGACTCCGGGCCCCAAAGGGGCGAGACATCCGCTTCTACACCGGGGGAAGCGGGTTTTTGACAACGACGTGAAGGGGCGTGTCGCTAGGGAGCGAGATAGTGGATGAGGCGTATAAGGCTGGGGAGAGGGAGCCCTTTGACCAGTTACCTGGTCCAGACACACTTCCAGTGGATCGGGGAGCAAAAATACAGGGGAAGTTTTGGAAATTGGGAGGAATTAGCCGAGGTTTTGAAGTCCTTGTCCCGCCTGGAGGGGCGCCCCGGGCAGGGTAGAGAAGAGAGTGAAGCTGGGGGGCATCAACAACAAACATTCGAAGAAGGGGGAGTGACAGCGTACGGGGGTGTCACCGAGTTTTTGTCACGGTACAGTGGGGGGTAGAGGTACATTGTGGGGCACCCCCCAAACCAACCCAGGAGGATGCCCGTCACAAGAAAGAGAGCCGCTGCTGGGTTTCAGAGATGTCCTAACGCCGGCGCAAAGGACTGGGAAGCAAATATGGGCAAAGGTGAAGGAGGGGTGGCCATGACGGGAGGCACCGAAAAAAGGGGGGGGGAGAGGGAAGTGTGCAGGGACAAGTGGTCCCACACTTCTGGGCCCATGGGAAGAGTGAAGAGGGGGGCAGGGGGGGAACCTAATAGGCCCCCGGGTGTATGACAAAACGTTAATTTTTTGTGTAATAGTGTAAAAGAGAATTTTTGGGAGAGTTTCGAAAAATTTTTAGAGGATTTGGGTTTCCCTACAGAGCACAATTTTAAGGGGGTAGGTTTTGGGAGATGGGGGGGTTTCAGGTGGAACCCGCCATCGCCCGTTTAAAAGGGGGGTGGGTACTTAAAAGGGGGGACCCTTTTGTTTTGCAGAAAGTAGGGGGGGGAGGGAAGGTGTTGCGCGTAGATTTTTTGTGGATGGAAAACTGGGGCTTTTTTATGTAATGCGCCCAGAGATAATGTACGGGTAAGCAGATTTTTGTGTGCGAGGCCTTGTGTTTTTTTTTCCGTGCATTACCGAGGGGCAAAGTAGAGGGTTTGGGAACTGCGTCATTGGGAGGGCTATTGGAACCAAAAGGGGCGGGTTTATGGGCGGGGCCCTACGAGATTTTTTGAGGATATTGGGTTAAAGACGCTTTCGGGGGGGGGCTTGGGAGACAGAGCATACATTTGTTAGGAAGGTATGCGCGAGGTTAGATAAGTTATTTTTCTCACGGGTTGTATGAGAGCTTTCAAAACGTTGAATTTGCAGGGTCAGATCATAAGCAGTGTTGGGGGTTTTGGGTGGGAGGCGCTTGCAAAATAACAAGTTACGGGAAATAAATAAAGTGCATTGATGATGGGGAGGGTTAAGGGATTTTCGCCTAGAGGGACTTAGTGGGAGGAAAGGGGAGTGGAAGATGTCGTACAAGGGTGGATTTGTTTGCCAAAAAGGATTGGGAAATATTATGTGGGGGGGGCAAACGTATAAATTTTTTAAATATGGCTTTCAAATTACTGGAGGACGGGTTAAGGGGGCTGTTAGGGGAAGGGGCTGGGGGAAACACCTATGGAAAAAATTGTCGAGCAAGGGGAACTGAGGGATTTACAAAATGAGAGGTTTCAAGCGGAAAGGGGTGCAGGCGGGGGTAGGGGAGGTGCTTTGGGGGTACAAACCATCGGCTGTGTGTTGCGACTAAAAAAAACAAAGACGCAGTTCAGCATTCCGGGGTTAAGGTACACGAATGGCGGGGTTATAGAAGGGGTCAGGGATACTAACTACAAAAGGAATGGTGGTATCGGATAAAGGGATGAAGGGATTGGGACAAGTGGGAAGGTGGAAATGTGGATTTAGAAAAGGGGTGGGTGATAGGACGTGTAATTTAGGGAAATATGATAAAAAGGGTTTTGGGGGGGTAATAAAGAGGAAAAAAGAGTTGTTTTAAAGGGGGAATGAGGAAAGCAAAGCCCCGGGGAAATAAGGGTCCCCCTGAATTTTATCCCAACTTTGGGGAGGGAAAAGGGGTTTCTGGGTAGGTTTTTAATCAGATGAAGGAAAAGGTTTTGGGGGGGCAAGAAAAAATTTTTGTGTTGGCCCAAAGGGTAAGGGGCAGCAACCCTCAAGGGTACCGGGCCCAATCCCTGTTTGTTTTGATTATAAGTTGTTCCTAAAGTTTTGGGAATAGGTTCAAATGTTGGGGGGGAAAGGGGGTTTTCGAAACGCAGTAGGGTTTGCCTGGAAGGTCATGATTGGGGGTCTGGAAACGAAAATTTGTGAGTAAAAAAGGGGGGGAGGGAGGGGCGGTTGGCTTTAGACGGGCAGGGGCCATGATAGGGTGGAACGAGGAGCAGGGGGCTATACTTGGGAGCGGGTTAGGGGGATGAAATATTTAAGGGGGTCACCACTTGACAATGGTCCCAAAATAGGGTAAAAGTTTAAGGATGCTTGGGGGGGGATTGTAAGGGTAGGGGACTTGGGCAGGGTGCCCCATGTCACAAATTTGTTTGCGTGCATTCAGGACCCCTTTTAAGAAGGTTGAAAGTTGGGATGTACACGATGGGGGGGGGGGGTGGGTAGGGAAATGTGGGCCGGAATAATAGGTACGGAGACAACAACATCCTTTGGGGGGGGATGACGTTTGGGGGTTTTGGGTGCTGTTGTCAACAGTTCGAAAAGCAACAGGGATGCAGGTAAAAAAAAAGTCAAAGATCCATGGGGTTGGGTGATTGGGTGGGGGGGGGGGGGGAATGTAACGTTGGAAAAACAAACGGGGTCTTTAAAAATTTTGGTTCACCTATAAGGGTGATTTGGAAGCGCTCGGAGGAAAACTCGAATAGATTAAAGGGAAAGGTTCAGGGGGGGTCTGGGTCATTGCGACCTTTATCACTGACTCTCGTCAACGGGGGATTTTTAAAACGATTTTTGTATATAAGGTTTGGCACGACACCGTTTCCCATTAACAGGGACGGCGATTGGGAAATTTTGAGACGAGTGTTTAACTTTTTTTTTTGGGGGGCAAGTGCGATTGGGTGAGGAGAGAGGTTGTAATGTTACCTGGCGCCAGGTGGTTGGGGTTTATGGATCTGAGGAGGGGGATTTAAAAGTGTTTTTTAAAAGGGGGGTTTTGCGCGAAGGTTGAGGGAGGGGACTGGGGAAAAATACATGTAGTTGGGTAATTTATGGGTGTGAGTTGAGGGAATGAAACTATTTTTGAGGGGTTTGATGTTTGGTTTAAAAACCCAGGAAAATTTGAGAGGGTTTGTGTAAGCTGCTTGCAGACAGGATTGTTTACCATTTTAGGGGTTGTTCCCCCCTGTACGCATGGACGATATTTGGTATGGGTTTTGCAGGTTAAATTAAAGCCAGGTAAGGGGGGAAAGTATCGTTTTTTTCAGGGATACACCCTCGGGGGAGGTTTTTTAAAAACCAAGGGGTAAATTTTGGGCGGGAAGGGGGTTTGGGAAACTGGGGGAGGGGAAAACGGCTTTCCATCTGTATACTTTTGTGGGAAAATGGAGGGTGTTTTGGTAGTTAATAGGTAGTACAGGGGGGGGGGCGAGGGTTCGGGTTTTGCGGCACTAAGCCTAATGTGGGAGGGTTCGATAGATGTTTAAAAGACTTTGGTTTTATAATAGTGGTTAATATATATATCGTGGGTGATGAGGGGAGGGGAATTTGAGGTGCGGAGGGGGTCTACGGGAACGGTTTTTGTACGATTGTCTAATAAGAACTTATGGAGGAGGTGGGAGAAGGGTTTTTCGAAAGGGGAAAAATGTTAAAAGTTGGTTTTTTTCATCATCCGACTTTTCTGAGTGATAAGGGGGGGGGGGTTGGGATTACAACGGGGAAGGGGTTTTCAGGGGGGCACAGCGGGTCGCCCCGGGGGGGGTGTGAGTGAAAGGTATGTGGTATAGAAGTTAGGAAAAGGGGATACATGTATGTACATGCAAGTGGGCACAGAAACCAAAGATGAAAACAAGTAAACGTAGTACCCGAATGGAAAATTCTGTGTTTGATGTGTCAGGGTCGTCTGACACTTCATGATTAAAATGTGAATGGTGTCAAGATTAAGTTTAAAAACCGTAAAAGCTTTTGGGCTTATTAAGTGCCTTTATACCTTTATTGGGCAAAAATCATGGCGATAATTGTACGCATGAAGGGTTTTTAAATTATTTTTTTGTTAGTGTTGTGGTTTTTGCGAGTGTACTGTCTTTATTTTAGCATTATATAATGTGCCATCCTTGCTGCAATGGAAAGAAAGCTTCCATAAATTTGTATGCCAGTTTAAAAATTTGTAATGGGGCAGTAGGTTTAGCTCTTTCTTTATATAATGTGCTCAGCCGGGGAAGAGGCGTATTAATATTTTAAATTTTAATATTTATTTATATAAGTGTGAGGCTTTGGATTTGATTTTTGATTTTGGATTTTTTTTTGATTTTTTTTTGATTTTATTTGATTTTATTTTATTTATTTTATTTTTTTTCAATGCTTTAAAAAGAGATTGTAGTGAGGCACGTATGTATGTGCTTTGGGACTTCTTATTGTATAGGGGTTAATTTTGGGAAGAGTATGTGAGTGTTTTTAACCGAGATTTGTGGATGAGGTTATTACTCTGATTATCTCCTGTCGAAGTGTGAACCTTTGTCATATGTCCGTCCATACTATGTTAACTATACAAATCTGAAAAAGTTGTATAATAGTTTTATATTTTATCTAGTTTATATAGTTATAGTTTATTTTGTTTATCATAGTATGTTATATGGAAAAGTTTGTGTGTATATGGGTAACCTCTTTTATGTCAATTACAATGTGTTGTTAATAATTGGCTAGTGTATGTTGTGTAGGATTGAGGATCCTACTGTATCCATTTTATATCTTAATTTAATATCAAGCTGTAAAGTTTTTAAATAAAATATAAAAAAAAAAATTCTATGTAACTGTATTGTGTATACCTGAATAAATTTACTTACTTACTTACTGAAGTAAAGGGGTTTCAATTCAATAATTTATTAAGCAATAAAATACACGAGAACAATAAATAATAAATAATGAAATAAATATATAAATATACTAATCATCTGAACATCTCAAATGTAACAATTATTACCATCATCCGACAGACACATCAGAGTATTAGTAAACTTAGTGTGTGACATTAATTTACATTAATATACCTTAATATAAATGAATGTCGTAGAAAACGAGGAGCAGCACTTGAACTTACAACGAAGGTCAGACATTGTGAAAGAAAATGGGATAAACTGCAAGAGAATGAACATTCATACCTGAAGTAACGATTGATTAGTAAATAAGAAATGTACGTTGCATTTACTGTATTGTAGAAGCAAAGCTACTGCATGATTCAGGGGCAGAACTATTACACCGTTGTAGAAGTAGGAATAATGCAGTTTGGCATGTGAAATATTTTCTTCACTCTGTTGCAGGTATAACTTTAACAATCTATGCTGCAAGTGTAACTTTAACACTATGTTGCAGGTGCAACTATAACTTGAAAACTGTGTTGCTGGTGTAACTTGAACAATCTTTGTCCCAGGTTTAACTTTAACAACCTATGATGTAAGTATAACATTAACAACCTTTGTTGCAGGTATAACATTAACAACCTATGTTGCAGGCATAACATTAACAACCTATGTTGCAGGCATAACATTAACAACCTTTGTTGCAGGCATAACATTAACAATCTATGTTGCAGGTATAACATTAACAATCTATGTTGCAGGCATAACATTAACAATCTATGTTGCAGGTATAACATTAACAACCTATGTTGCAGGTATAACATTAACAACCTATGTTGCAGGTACAACATTAATAACCTATGTTGCAGGTATAACATTAACATCCTATGTTGCAGGCATAACATTAACAATCTATGTTGCAGGTATAACATTAACAATCTATGTTGCAGGCATAACATTAACAATCTATGTTGCAGGTATAACATTAACAACCTATGTTGCAGGTATAACATTAACAATCTATGTTGCAGGTATAACATTAACAATCTATTTTGCAGGTATAACACTAACAACCTATGTTGCAGATATAACATTAACAATCTATGTTGCAGGTATAACATTAACAACCTATGTTGCAGGTACAACATTAATAACCTATGTTGCAGGTATAACATTAACATCCTATGTTGCAGGTATAACATTAACAACCCATGTTGCAGGTATAATATTAACAATCTATGTTGCAGGAATAACTTGATCAACTTATCTCGCAGGTACATCAGTCTGTGTTACGCTGGAGAAGCAGCATCATTATCGCAGCTTCTCTCGTCTCTCGTACTTCTTGACAGCATCAGTCAACAGCCTCAACACGAAGGACACAGCCTCCGACCCCCTGTGTAAGACACTAAGTTTGTTAATAATAATAAAAATAGTGATGATCTTCATTTCTACAAGTACATGTGCAAGTACATGTACAAGTATATGTACAAGTTTATTATTATTATTATTATTAGTAAAGATTCGCCGGTATTCCCCGGCCCGGGGGCCTTTTCCCAAGTGGTGGCCCCGGCCTTGCACCCTCTTAGGGAGTGTCTGAGACCTAAGTCTCCCATGGGAGGAGGCACAAGTACCTCCTCATCTTTGGGACCAACTGTCCCCAGGCCCTAGCCACAAGCTAGGCCCTCTGTCTGCCATCAACCCGACCCAAGGGGGCAAATGGGAATGACAGTCTTATGAGCTAAAGGCTCGGGCTCAGGCACCTATCCTACCCTAGAAGGGTTAGGCATGGTATCGATGATATGTACAAGTACATGTACAAGTATATGTACTTGTACATGTACTTCTTTGGGACGAAATTGTTAGGGCTTCTAGATACAATAACATAGTGATTGTAGGGGATTTTAACTTTAGTCAAATAAACTGGAATTCTTTGACCGGTAATCTGGAGTCCAGTGACTTTATGGAAACAGTTCAAGACTGTTTTCTGAAGCAGTGTGTAACAGAGCCTACCAGGGGTAATAATTTGCTTGACCTAGTCTTGTCAAATAAGGAAACACTCGTAAATAATCTGGAGATCACTGAAGAGCTTGGCGCAAGTGATCACAAATCCATCACTTTTAGCATTAACTGGGAATACAGGAATAATGATAATACAGTAAAAATCCCTGATTTTCGTTCTGTCGATTATAATGGACTTAGGGAACACCTGTCTAATCTTGATTGGGGTTATCTAGCTAATGATTTTATTGACGATGATCATACCTATGATTATGAAGGGATCTGCTTTTATGATTTTTTTCTTAATAATGTACACCGTGCCCAAGTATATAAAATTCCCCAGAGAGAAATTAGGTCTAATAATAACGATCCCAAATGGTTAACAGTAGGTTAAAGCATCTATTAGGGGAGAAAAGGGGAATTTATAGGCGCATCAGAAGAGGAGAGGTTAACCTTACTGACCAATATGTTCAGCTTAAAAGAGAAGTAAAAAAGAGGATTAGAAAGACTAAACGTGACTATGAAATTAGAGTTGCTAATGAATCAAAGACTAATCCAAAGGGGTTCTTTCAAGTGTATAGGACGAAGGTGAAGGAAAAAGTAGGACCTCTAAAAATTGGGAATGGACAGCTGACAGATATAATATAATTATTATAATAATCAAGGGGGAAGCGCTAAACCCGGAGGATTATACAGCGCCTGGGGGGGGGATGTGGAAGGCATTCAGGCTTAATTCGGGGAACTGGAGCACAGATCCAATTCCCTAAATCAAGGGCCCCTCACCAACATCAAGGAACCTTCCTTGAGAGTAGCTGACAGATAACGAACTGGAAATGTGTTCCTTATTTAATGACTATTTTTTGTCAGTTTTTACACAGGAAGATGTAAATGAGATTTCAGTAATTAACAATTATTTAGTTCCTGATGAATTTAAATTAACTAATATTACTGTCACGAGGGACATGGTTATTAAACAGATAGACAAACTGAAGTAAAATAAGTCTCCGGGACCCGATGAGTTGTTTTCCAGGGTACTTAAGGAATGCAAGATGGAGCTTAGTCAGCCATTAACGAGTGTGTTTAATGCGTCCATCCTTACCGGTGTTGTGCCGGGAGTTGTGGAAGATGGCTAATGTGGTTCCTATATTCAAATCAGGGGATAAGTCCGTTCCTTCAAATTACCGTCCAATTAACCCTGACATCTATATAGGCAAGTTATTAGAATCAATTATAGCTGACATTATTAGAAGTCACCTTGAAGAGCATAACTTGATAAATGAATCTCAGCATGGATTCACGAGAGTCGTTCCTGCCTGACAAACTTGCTGACGTTCTTCAATAGAACATTTGAGGCAGTTGACAGTGATAAGGAATATGATATTGTTTATTTGGATTTTAGTAAAGCCTTCGATAGAGTACCTCACAAGAGACTCGTAAGAAAAGTGGCAGCTCATGGTATAGGAGGTAAAGTTCTAGCATGGATAGAGGCATGGTTCACCTATAGAAAGCAGAGAGTTACCATTAATGGAGTGAAATCTGAATGGGGATTAGTCACTAGTGGCGTTCCACAAGGATCAGTCTTAGGCCCTCTCTTGTTCATAATTTACATTAATGACCTTGATGAAGGGATTACGAGTGACATGAGTAAATTTGTAGATGAATGGTTCACAGAACTGACATGTTGATAAATTAGACACATGTGCAACCCAAGAGTTGCTCAATGAGTAAATTTGCTGATGATACAAAGATAGGCCGTATAATTCACTCTGAGGAGGATAGCAATAAACTCCAGGAGGATTTGGACAAATTAATGTCTTGGTCTGAAAAATGGCAGATGAAGTTCAATGTGGATAAGTGTAAGGTACTTGCCCTTGGTAATGAAAATAACCCTCGAAGCTATAATCTAGGTGAAGTAGAGCTTGATCATACAGAATGTGAAAAAGACTTGGGAGTCATGGTAAGCAGAAATCTAAAGCCAAGACAGCAGTGCCTAAGTGTGCGCAACAAGGCCAACAGATTGCTTGGAATAATGTTGGTAGAATTACCGACAATATATAAAGTAAAAGGACACAAGTGCAACTAATGTGACATTTTATTGTGGCATTTTTATTGTCACATTAATTGCACTTGTGTCCTTTTACTTTACAGATTACTTGGATTTATCTCAAGAAGTATAAGTAACAGAAGACCAAAGTTATTTTACAGCTCTATACATCACTAGTGAGGCCTCATTTAGATTATGCTGCTCAGTTTTGGTCCCCTTACTACAGGATGGATATAGACTCATTAGAGAACATACAGTGAAGAATGACTATAATGATTTACTGTGTAAGGAACCTCCCGTATGAAGATAGACTCAAAGCCTTAAATCTCCACTCTCTGGAGAGGTGTAGAATGAGGGGAGATATCATTGAAGTGTATAAGTGGATGACGGGCATAAACAAGGGAGATATTAATAAAATACTGAGTGTCGAACCAGGTAAGAACCAGAAATAATGGATTTAAGTTGGATAAATTTAGATTTAGAAAGGACATAGGTAAGTACTGGTTTTCTAACAGAGTTGTAGATGCGTGGAACAGTCTTCCCAGTGGGGTGATAGAGGCTAGGACCTTGGGTAGCTTTAAGAAGAGATTGGGCAAATATATGAGTGGGAGGGGCTGGGTTTGATTGGTGTCATTGGGTTCGGGAGTTATTTCTTGGGTAGCTTTAGGTAGAGGTCGTTTTGATAAGGACCTGCCTCGCATGGGCCAGTAGGCCTTCTGCAGTGTTCCTCCATTCTTATGTTCTTATGTGCAAGGTATACAGGCCTAAATTACATCAGTGACATACTATTATATAGAAAGATCCTTGTTATGCAGAGCATTTCGGGGAAAATTAGGTCAGTTTTGTCCCAGGATGCGACCCACACCAGTCGACTAACACCCAGGTATCCATTATTACTGCTAGGTGAACACTGGACAGCAGATGTGTTAAGGGAACACGTCCTAATGTTTCCAGCCGTACCGGGGATCGACCCCATTATTATTATTATAATAAAAAAGAAGGGCTAAGCCACAAGGGCTATACAGCGCTGCAGGGCAGGAAGCGAGGGCATCAGGTGGCAAAAGGGAGGTGGATGAGTAATAGGTTATGGATAACAGTGGAGCAGTGGATGGTGAAAGGGTAAAGGGCAGCAAGAGACTGAGCTAGAAAGGGCTGAGGGGAGTGCGTAAGGTATCATCATCAGAGTTTGTGGAGTAAATCAGTCGTTGTCAAGAAGTCAATGAGAGAGTCAGGATTAAAGGAGGGTCCATCAGCAAGAAGAGAAGGTAAAGAGAGAGTAGTAGAACGAAGACGGCGTTGGAGGTAAATTCTGCATGCTCGTTGATAGAGAGGGCAGTCTAACAGAATGTGGCTAATCGATACTGGAACTTGACACTGCTCACAGAGAGGTACAGGGTGCCTCTCCATGAGATACCCGTGAGTAAGACGAGTGTGGCCAATGCGAAGACGGGAGAGAGTGGTCTCCCAACCACGGCACTGATGACAAGAAGACGGCCAGTAACCTATGCTCGGTTTAATAGAATGAAGTTTGTTACCAAGCAGAGTTGACCAACGTTGTTGCCAACGAGCGCGAAGGTGGGCAGCTATTGTAGCAAAATAGTCCAGGGGATCGACCCCAGACCACAGTGTGTGAACTAGCGATCGAGCTATGAAATATATTAAAATTTAGGCACAGGTAGCGCTGTATGACCCTTATGGGTCTAGCGCTTAGTTAAAATTATAATCAAATTTAGGCACTGGTACACATAAATACAATTATCATACATTATATAAATTACAAAAAAAATTGAAGTGATTTATTTTCATCGAAGTTATTGTAATATCTTGTTATTTAAACCTTTTCGCATTTTTCATCGTCAGTTTTTTTTTTTTTGTCTCTCTCAAAGATAGTTTCGTGCATTTAAAATCTTTCATTTAATGTTAATCCTCTCCAAGGAGGTTCCTTGATGCCGGTGAAGAGCTCTTGATCCAAGGAATGCAACCTGCCTTCATCTTACATCGACCCTGATTGCTTCACATACCCCCTTACTGATTGAGCGCTCCCCGTAAATGTAATAATAATAATAATAATAATAATAATAATAATAATAATAATAATAATAATAATAATAATAATCGTGAGGTATTAGCTAAGTTACCCTTCCAGGCATCTTAAGTTTTCTGTATTTAATTCCATTTTCTTTATTTAACCTAACCTAGATGTGGGAGGTGTACTCTCAGAGTTGTACTCTCCTGTACTCTCACAGGTGTACTATCCCAATTGTACGCTCCTGTACTCTCCGGTGCTAAGTTGTACTCCTGTACTCTCCCAGCTGTACTCTCCTGTGCTCTCCCAGTTGTGCTCCTGTACT